TACCTTTGTCTTTCGTTCAGATTTTCAATTCTTTACCTCAAAAATAAATGTAATGTCGTGGTTCATCTCAGAGCTTCTTAGTTTTGTTCGTATTTGGAAAAATACTTTTATTCTAATACACCGTTGCGCTCTATATATAAATCGACAAAAGTGGCTTTCATAAAGTGTTCAAATAAATGTTGCCATTCTAGACTGCATATTCCAGCTGGCATGTCACGAGAAAGAAAACAATGATAGTCATTAAGATAAACAATGTGAGAGAAGATAAAGGATCCACACCTTTCACAAGCCTCCAATCCAGACACAGCATTACCAGCTTTGAGTTTGTGTCCATGCTATCCCAGTCAAACATTTGTGTTGACCTCATCTCAACCTAATGACAATAACACAGCAAGAGAACAGCTGAAAAATAGCTCATGCATAGTATAACAAATGCATTTCTCAATAAGCAAGCAATGTTTCATTGCTGCCAAACTGCAGTACTGTGCTTGTTGATGACAAACAAAAACAAAGACCTATAAGAGGTCTAGTTGTTTTTTTAATGATTGACCCCTAGTGCTCAATGGAAAGATGGCTTATGGAGACATCTAGAGTCCAGACTTATACAAGCACCAGTCATGGTTCAGTTGTCCATCTGGAGCAATCTGGGCAAGACAATGTTGTAAATATGCTTTCTGTCTTCAGCAGAACACAAAACAAGTGAAGAACCGTTTCTGTGCAATGAAAGACAATGAGGTCCAAAAGAACTCTGGGTCACACTATGTACTTACATCAAAGAAAAAAATGAACAATGCACTTACCGTATTGTGTTCATGTTGTTTTGCAAAACACTTGTGCTGCTATTGAGCTGAGATACGGTTAAGGTTAGAAATAGGTTGGGTGTTATGGGTAGATTTATGGGTAGGTTGAGGTGTAAAGGCCTTGACACACCAAGTCGATGGTCGGGCTGTCGTTGACCATCGGTCGGCCAAGTTTTTGCTGTGTTACGCACCGTTGGCTCTATTTTTGGCTGATTGAGCATGTTGAATCAGCGTCCGTTGGGGGTAGAGAGAACTCTGATTGGATGTTCAGTTTAGCGTACGAATCAGTGCACCAGAATAAAAGCAAAAGTGATGCAAGCAAGCAAAGAAGTCAAGATAGTACAGCCAAAAGGTTTTCCAATGTACAAATCATAACATGAGCCGACTGGAATGAAGAAAGTGATCAGCATGATTGATATTGAAAATGGTAAGCAAGCTCTGCTTTAAACTACTGATACCTGCTGAGACAGATATTCACTTACACACAGGCACAGAAAACACAAGCTAGTTGACAGTCGCCTTTAGTCCTTTTGGTGTTCAAGCACAGCTTTTTGGCTGAGACGCAGCCGACGAGAGGCGACAACACAGTCAGCATCCGTCGCCGCTAGTTCTTTTTTACATTGGCTTGGTCACTGCCTTAAGGGAAGTGTAATTTATAGATGTAATTAGAAAATAAATACAGGTGTAATTAGATGCAGGTATTTTTTTTTAAATATAAGAAGCCTACACTGTAAAACATGTGTTGTATACAACAAGTGCACTAATAAATGATTCATAAATGTTGGTACATAATAGTTAAAGACACTCAATATAAAGTGGGGTTGAACATTGATTAAAGTCTGAATTTCATTGTATGGACAATAAAACACTTTTGGAACAAAAGAAAGAACTGTGCGAACTATGCGAACTATTCATTTAAACTAATATATCCAAAAGCCCTCATGAGGAACTGGACAGTCAAACTAATTGTCTGCTGGGTTTGGGTGAGAATGGTGACACTGATGACACCTTTTCCCCACGCAACACTCTATCTCTATCTTCGGCGAAGCTATGAAGAAAACGTCAGCGTTCAATATGTGAATTACTGTTGTACTTCAAACATCTCCTCCGAGGCAGCACACTGATGTGTTTTTCAAAAAGGTATGAAAATAAGAAGCAGACTAGCCCGTTTCCTCCCCGGCAGTCTTGCACCCCGCCTGAACGTGGCCTCTTGAATTGTCTGAGACGTTAAAGGGATAGTTCACCCAAAAATGTAATTTCTGTCATCAATTACTCACCCTCATGTCGTTCCAAATCCATAAGACTTTCGTTCATCTTCAGAACACAAATGAAGATCTTTTTGATTAAATCTGAGAGATTTCTTTCCCTCCGTTGGCAGCTACGCGCACTGACACTTTGATGCTTAAAAAAAGTTCATAAAGAGATCGTAAAACAAATCCATATGAATCGAGTGATTTATTCCAAATTTTCTGAAGAGACTCGATCACTTTATATGATGAACAGATTGAATTTAGGCTTTTATTCACATATAAACATTCCTTAACTCACACATCAGTTCTAGTAAACGGAAGCTCAAGCATGTTCGCGCGATGTCCAAGAGCCAATGAGGTTCATTCTAGTGTTACGCAGCACGTTTGAGCTTCAGCAAGAGCCAATGAGGTTCATTCTAGTGTTACGCAGCACGTTTAAGCTTCAGCGAGAACCAATGAGGTTCATTCTAGTGTTATGCAGCACCTTTGAGCTTCAGAAAGAACCAATGAGGTTCATTCTAGTGTTACGCAGCACGTTTGAGCTTCAGGAAGAACCAATGAGGTTCATTCTAGTGTTATGCAGCACCTTTGAGCTTCAGAAAGAACCAATGAGGTTCATTCTCGTGTTACGCAGCACGTTTGAGCTTCTGTTAGAACCAATGAGGTTCATTCTAGTGTTACACAGCACGTTTGTGCTTCAGCAAGAACCAATGAGGTTCATTCTAGTGTTACGCAGCACATTTGAGCTTCAGAAAGAACCAATGAGGTTCATTCTAGTGTTACGCAGCACGTTTGAGCTTCAGCAAGAACCAATGAGGTTCATTCTCGTGTTACGCAGCACGTTTGAGCTTCAGTGAGAACCAATGAGGTTCATTCTAGTGTTATGCAGCACGTTTGAGCTTCTGTAAGAACCAATGAGGTTCATTCTAGTGTTACGCAGCACGTTTGAGCTTCAGCAAGAACCAATGAGGTTCATTCTAGTGTTACGCAGCACGTTTGAGCTTCTGTAAGAACCAATGAGGTTCATTCTAGTGTTACGCAGCACGTTTGAGCTTCAGAAAGAACCAATGAGGTTCATTCTAGTGTTATGCAGCACCTTTGAGCTTCAGAAAGAACCAATGAGGTTCATTCTAGTGTTACGCAGCACGTTTGAGCTTCTGTTAGAACCAATGAGGTTCATTCTCGTGTTACACAGCACCTTTGAGCTTCAGCGAGAACCAATGAGGTTCATTCTCGTGTTACGCAGCACGTTTGAGGTTCAGCAAGAACCAATGAGGTTCATTCTAGTGTTATGCAGCACCTTTGAGCTTCAGAAAGAACCAATGAGGTTCATTCTAGTGTTACGCAGCACGTTTGAGCTTCTGTTAGAACCAATGAGGTTCATTCTCGTGTTACACAGCACCTTTGAGCTTCAGCGAGAACCAATGAGGTTCATTCTCGTGTTACGCAGCACGTTTGAGCTTCAGCAAGAACCAATGAGGTTCATTCTAGTGTTATGCAGCACCTTTGAGCTTCAGAAAGAACCAATGAGGTTCATTCTAGTGTTACGCAGCACGTTTGAGCTTCAGGAAGAACCAATGAGGTTCATTCTCGTGTTACACAGCACCTTTGAGCTTCAGCGAGAACCAATGAGGTTCATTCTCGTGTTACGCAGCACGTTTGAGCTTCAGCAAGAACCAATGAGGTTCATTCTAGTGTTATGCAGCACCTTTGAGCTTCAGAAAGAACCAATGAGGTTCATTCTAGTGTTACGCAGGACGTTTGAGCTTCAGGAAGAACCAATGAGGTTCATTCTAGTGTTATGCAGCACCTTTGAGCTTCAGAAAGAACCAATGAGGTTCATTCTCGTGTTACGCAGCACGTTTGAGCTTCTGTTAGAACCAATGAGGTTCATTCTAGTGTTACACAGCACGTTTGTGCTTCAGCAAGAACCAATGAGGTTCATTCTAGTGTTACGCAGCACGTTTGAGCTTCTGTTAGAACCAATGAGGTTCATTCTAGTGTTACGCAGCACGTTTGAGCTTCTGTAAGAACCAATGAGGTTCATTCTAGTGTTACGCAGCACATTTGAGCTTCAGAAAGAACCAATGAGGTTCATTCTAGTGTTACGCAGCACGCTTGAGCTTCTGTAAGAACCAATGAGGTTCATTCTAGTGTTACGCAGCACGTTTGAGCTTCTGTTAGAACCAATGAGGTTCATTCTAGTGTTACACAGCACGTTTGAGCTTCAGCAAGAACCAATGAGGTTCATTCTCGTGTTACGCAGCACGTTTGAGCTTCAGTGAGAACCAATGAGGTTCATTCTAGTGTTATGCAGCACGTTTGAGCTTCTGTAAGAACCAATGAGGTTCATTCTAGTGTTACGCAGCACGTTTGAGCTTCAGCAAGAACCAATGAGGTTCATTCTAGTGTTACGCAGCACGTTTGAGCTTCTGTAAGAACCAATGAGGTTCATTCTAGTGTTACGCAGCACGTTTGAGCTTCAGAAAGAACCAATGAGGTTCATTCTAGTGTTATGCAGCACTTTGAGCTTCAGAAGGAACCAATGAGGTTCATTCTAGTGTTATGCAGCACCTTTGAGCTTCAGAAGGAACCAATGAGGTTCATTCTAGTGTTACGCAGCACGTTTGAGCTTCTGTTAGAACCAATGAGGTTCATTCTCGTGTTACACAGCACCTTTAAAGCTTCAGCGAGAACCAATGAGGTTCATTCTCGTGTTACGCAGCACGTTTGAGCTTCAGCAAGAACCAATGAGGTTCATTCTAGTGTTATGCAGCACCTTTGAGCTTCAGAAAGAACCAATGAGGTTCATTCTAGTGTAACGCAGCACGTTTGAGCTTCTGTTAGAACCAATGAGGTTCATTCTAGTGTTATGCAGCACGTTTGAGCTTCTGTTAGAACCAATGAGGTTCATTCTCGTGTTATGCAGCACGTTTGAGCTTCAGGAAGAACAAATGAGGTTCATTCTAGTGTTATGCAGCACGTTTGAGCTTCTGTTAGAACCAATGAGGTTCATTCTCGTGTTACGCAGCACGTTTGAGCTTCTGTTAGAACCAATGAGGTTCATTCTAGTGTTACACAGCACGTTTGTGCTTCAGCAAGAACCAATGAGGTTCATTCTAGTGTTACGCAGCACATTTGAGCTTCAGAAAGAACCAATGAGGTTCATTCTAGTGTTACGCAGCACGCTTGAGCTTCTGTAAGAACCAATGAGGTTCATTCTAGTGTTACGCAGCACGTTTGAGCTTCTGTTAGAACCAATGAGGTTCATTCTAGTGTTACACAGCACGTTTGAGCTTCAGCAAGAACCAATGAGGTTCATTCTCGTGTTACGCAGCACGTTTGAGCTTCAGTGAGAACCAATGAGGTTCATTCTAGTGTTATGCAGCACGTTTGAGCTTCTGTAAGAACCAATGAGGTTCATTCTAGTGTTACGCAGCACGTTTGAGCTTCAGCAAGAACCAATGAGGTTCATTCTAGTGTTACGCAGCACGTTTGAGCTTCTGTAAGAACCAATGAGGTTCATTCTAGTGTTACGCAGCACGTTTGAGCTTCAGAAAGAACCAATGAGGTTCATTCTAGTGTTACACAGCATGTTTGTGCTTCAGCAAGAACCAATGAGGTTCATTCTAGTGTTACGCAGCACGTTTGAGCTTCTGTTAGAACCAATGAGGTTCATTCTAGTGTTACACAGCACGTTTGTGCTTCAGCAAGAACCAATGAGGTTCATTCTAGTGTTACGCAGCACGTTTGAGCTTCAGCAAGAACCAATGAGGTTCATTCTAGTGTTACGCAGCACGTTTGTGCTTCAGCAAGAACCAATGAGGTTCATTCTAGTGTTACGCAGCACATTTGAGCTTCAGAAAGAACCAATGAGGTTCATTCTAGTGTTACGCAGCACGCTTGAGCTTCTGTAAGAACCAATGAGGTTCATTCTAGTGTTACGCAGCACGTTTGAGCTTCTGTTAGAACCAATAAAGTTCATTCTAGTGTTACACAGCACGTTTGAGCTTCAGCAAGAACCAATGAGGTTCATTCTCGTGTTACGCAGCACGTTTGAGCTTCAGTGAGAACCAATGAGGTTCATTCTAGTGTTATGCAGCACGTTTGAGCTTCTGTAAGAACCAATGAGGTTCATTCTAGTGTTACGCAGCACGTTTGAGCTTCAGCAAGAACCAATGAGGTTCATTCTAGTGTTACGCAGCACGTTTGAGCTTCTGTAAGAACCAATGAGGTTCATTCTAGTGTTACGCAGCACGTTTGAGCTTCAGAAAGAACCAATGAGGTTCATTCTAGTGTTATGCAGCACCTTTGAGCTTCAGAAAGAACCAATGAGGTTCATTCTAGTGTTACGCAGCACGTTTGAGCTTCTGTTAGAACCAATGAGGTTCATTCTAGTGTTACACAGCACGTTTGTGCTTCAGCAAGAACCAATGAGGTTCATTCTAGTGTTACGCAGCACATTTGAGCTTCAGAAAGAACCAATGAGGTTCATTCTAGTGTTACGCAGCACGCTTGAGCTTCTGTAAGAACCAATGAGGTTCATTCTAGTGTTACGCAGCACGTTTGAGCTTCTGTTAGAACCAATGAGGTTCATTCTAGTGTTACACAGCACGTTTGAGCTTCAGCAAGAACCAATGAGGTTCATTCTAGTGTTACGCCGCACGTTTGAGCTTCAGAAAGAACCAATGAGGTTCATTCTAGTGTTACACAGCATGTTTGTGCTTCAGCAAGAACCAATGAGGTTCATTCTAGTGTTACGCAGCACGTTTGAGCTTCTGTTAGAACCAATGAGGTTCATTCTCGTGTTACACAGCACCTTTGAGCTTCAGCGAGAACCAATGAGGTTCATTCTCGTGTTACGCAGCACGTTTGAGCTTCAGCAAGAACCAATGAGGTTCATTCTAGTGTTATGCAGCACCTTTGAGCTTCAGAAAGAACCAATGAGGTTCATTCTAGTGTTACGCAGCACGTTTGAGCTTCAGGAAGAACCAATGAGGTTCATTCTCGTGTTACACAGCACCTTTGAGCTTCAGCGAGAACCAATGAGGTTCATTCTCGTGTTACGCAGCACGTTTGAGCTTCAGCAAGAACCAATGAGGTTCATTCTAGTGTTATGCAGCACCTTTGAGCTTCAGAAAGAACCAATGAGGTTCATTCTAGTGTTACGCAGGACGTTTGAGCTTCAGGAAGAACCAATGAGGTTCATTCTAGTGTTATGCAGCACCTTTGAGCTTCAGAAAGAACCAATGAGGTTCATTCTCGTGTTACGCAGCACGTTTGAGCTTCTGTTAGAACCAATGAGGTTCATTCTAGTGTTACACAGCACGTTTGTGCTTCAGCAAGAACCAATGAGGTTCATTCTAGTGTTACGCAGCACGTTTGAGCTTCTGTTAGAACCAATGAGGTTCATTCTAGTGTTACGCAGCACGTTTGAGCTTCTGTAAGAACCAATGAGGTTCATTCTAGTGTTACGCAGCACATTTGAGCTTCAGAAAGAACCAATGAGGTTCATTCTAGTGTTACGCAGCACGCTTGAGCTTCTGTAAGAACCAATGAGGTTCATTCTAGTGTTACGCAGCACGTTTGAGCTTCTGTTAGAACCAATGAGGTTCATTCTAGTGTTACACAGCACGTTTGAGCTTCAGCAAGAACCAATGAGGTTCATTCTCGTGTTACGCAGCACGTTTGAGCTTCAGTGAGAACCAATGAGGTTCATTCTAGTGTTATGCAGCACGTTTGAGCTTCTGTAAGAACCAATGAGGTTCATTCTAGTGTTACGCAGCACGTTTGAGCTTCAGCAAGAACCAATGAGGTTCATTCTAGTGTTACGCAGCACGTTTGAGCTTCTGTAAGAACCAATGAGGTTCATTCTAGTGTTACGCAGCACGTTTGAGCTTCAGAAAGAACCAATGAGGTTCATTCTAGTGTTATGCAGCACTTTGAGCTTCAGCAAGAACCAATGAGGTTCATTCTAGTGTTATGCAGCACCTTTGAGCTTCAGAAGGAACCAATGAGGTTCATTCTAGTGTTACGCAGCACGTTTGAGCTTCTGTTAGAACCAATGAGGTTCATTCTCGTGTTACACAGCACCTTTAAAGCTTCAGCGAGAACCAATGAGGTTCATTCTCGTGTTACGCAGCACGTTTGAGCTTCAGCAAGAACCAATGAGGTTCATTCTAGTGTTATGCAGCACCTTTGAGCTTCAGAAAGAACCAATGAGGTTCATTCTAGTGTTATGCAGCACTTTGAGCTTCAGCAAGAACCAATGAGGTTCATTCTAGTGTTATGCAGCACCTTTGAGCTTCAGAAGGAACCAATGAGGTTCATTCTAGTGTTACGCAGCACGTTTGAGCTTCTGTTAGAACCAATGAGGTTCATTCTCGTGTTACACAGCACCTTTAAAGCTTCAGCGAGAACCAATGAGGTTCATTCTCGTGTTACGCAGCACGTTTGAGCTTCAGCAAGAACCAATGAGGTTCATTCTAGTGTTATGCAGCACCTTTGAGCTTCAGAAAGAACCAATGAGGTTCATTCTAGTGTTACGCAGCACGTTTGAGCTTCTGTTAGAACCAATGAGGTTCATTCTAGTGTTATGCAGCACGTTTGAGCTTCTGTTAGAACCAATGAGGTTCATTCTCGTGTTATGCAGCACGTTTGAGCTTCAGGAAGAACCAATGAGGTTCATTCTAGTGTTATGCAGCACGTTTGAGCTTCTGTTAGAACCAATGAGGTTCATTCTCGTGTTACGCAGCACGTTTGAGCTTCTGTTAGAACCAATGAGGTTCATTCTAGTGTTACACAGCACGTTTGTGCTTCAGCAAGAACCAATGAGGTTCATTCTAGTGTTACGCAGCACATTTGAGCTTCAGAAAGAACCAATGAGGTTCATTCTAGTGTTACGCAGCACGCTTGAGCTTCTGTAAGAACCAATGAGGTTCATTCTAGTGTTACGCAGCACGTTTGAGCTTCTGTTAGAACCAATGAGGTTCATTCTAGTGTTACACAGCACGTTTGAGCTTCAGCAAGAACCAATGAGGTTCATTCTCGTGTTACGCAGCACGTTTGAGCTTCAGTGAGAACCAATGAGGTTCATTCTAGTGTTATGCAGCACGTTTGAGCTTCTGTAAGAACCAATGAGGTTCATTCTAGTGTTACGCAGCACGTTTGAGCTTCAGCAAGAACCAATGAGGTTCATTCTAGTGTTACGCAGCACGTTTGAGCTTCTGTAAGAACCAATGAGGTTCATTCTAGTGTTACGCAGCACGTTTGAGCTTCAGAAAGAACCAATGAGGTTCATTCTAGTGTTACACAGCATGTTTGTGCTTCAGCAAGAACCAATGAGGCTCATTCTAGTGTTACGCAGCACGTTTGAGCTTCTGTTAGAACCAATGAGGTTCATTCTAGTGTTACACAGCACGTTTGTGCTTCAGCAAGAACCAATGAGGTTCATTCTAGTGTTACGCAGCACGTTTGAGCTTCAGCAAGAACCAATGAGGTTCATTCTAGTGTTACGCAGCACGTTTGTGCTTCAGCAAGAACCAATGAGGTTCATTCTAGTGTTACGCAGCACATTTGAGCTTCAGAAAGAACCAATGAGGTTCATTCTAGTGTTACGCAGCACGCTTGAGCTTCTGTAAGAACCAATGAGGTTCATTCTAGTGTTACGCAGCACGTTTGAGCTTCTGTTAGAACCAATGAGGTTCATTCTAGTGTTACACAGCACGTTTGAGCTTCAGCAAGAACCAATGAGGTTCATTCTCGTGTTACGCAGCACGTTTGAGCTTCAGTGAGAACCAATGAGGTTCATTCTAGTGTTATGCAGCACGTTTGAGCTTCTGTAAGAACCAATGAGGTTCATTCTAGTGTTACGCAGCACGTTTGAGCTTCAGCAAGAACCAATGAGGTTCATTCTAGTGTTACGCAGCACGTTTGAGCTTCTGTAAGAACCAATGAGGT